ATGGTGATGGTGATGGTGATGGTGATGGTGATGGTGATGGTGATGATGAGGATGATTGTGATGGTGAGGGTGATGAGGACGAGTAGGAGGGATGACCGCTAGCGGAACGCATCGAGCTCCGCCGCCGCACTGCGCCCCCGCCATTGCGGGGCGCATCGAGCTCCGCCGCCGCACTCTGCGCCCCCTCCGCCGCAGTGACCGACTCGTCGGCCTACACGGCGCCGGCGGCCTCGTCGGTCTCCGATGCCCGCCCAGCCGCGGCGGCCTGCAGGCTCGACGGGCGACGACGACAACGACGAAGACACGATCATGATCGTGTCTTCGTCGTTGTCGTCGTAGTCGTCGTCGTTGTCGTTGTCGTCGTCGCCGCCGTCGCCCGTCGAGCCTCCTGCGCCGCCGCCCTAGCGCGCTCGCGCCGCCCCCGCGCTCCGTCGCAGACGGCGGCCGCCTCCGCCCAGTCCGTGTGCAGCTCGTCCGCCACCCTCCAGGCCGCCTGGCACGCCGCCTCCGCATCCCCCAACTCGGTCGACGGCGGGGGCGACGCCGCGGCGGGCTCGCTGGCGCCGAGGGCGGCGTCGGCGAAGACCCGCGCCGAGGGCGCCGCCGCGGGCCGCGCCGCGAGCGGCGCCGTGGGCGGCGCTGCGCCGCGGTGCTGGCGCGAGCGCGGGCGCGAGTGCGAGCGCGAGCGCGCGGGCGGCGGCCGCGCCGCCACCTTGCACGTCTGCGACGCCGCGCTTTTGCGGCGGCGTCAGCGGCGGCCGCGGACCGACGGCCGCCTTGGAGGCCTGCGCTCTGCGTTCCGCCGCCGTCGGCGGCGGCGGCGCGAACGCCAGCGCCATGTTCGCCATCGCCTGCTCCTGCGCCGCCATCGGCGTGGCGGCCGCGCCCACCCGCGGCGCGCAGCCGCGGGTCCGACGGCGCGACGCTGCGGCTCCGAGCCCAGGGGCGGATGCGGGGAGGAGGAGGGCAAGGAGGACGAGGAGGGTGGCGAGGGAGAAGAGGGGGCTGATGACGAGAGGGAGGACCATGGGCACTGTTGTTGCGCGCCTGCGCTCCTGCGAGGGAGGGGCAGGGAGAAGGAGAAGGAGTAGCTAGTCGGTGGCGGCGAGGCGGTGAGCTCGCAGGGAGAGGGTGAGTCAGGGGGGGAGGCACGTTGAGCAGGACCCGCGGGTCTTACAGCGCCGCGCGCTTGTTCCCCAAAGCGCAATGCGCTCTTTCGCCAAACAATATTTGCACTTTAGGGCGTCTTACGTGTGGGCCTGGGTGGCGGTCTGGCGGCCCTGTACATGGGCATGGGTGGCGGTCCCCCCTCCCTCCCCATGGCGTTCCCCCCCCTCCTCCCCCCTCCTGGGCCTGATTGGCGTCAGCCCCCCCCCTCCTCCTTCCCGGGCTTGGATGGCGTCAGCCCTCCCCCCCCGACAGAGCGAAGCCCCCCCCCTCCGCTCCTCCCTCCCAGGCCTGAATGGCATGAGCTCCCTCCCGCTCCCGGGCCTGAATGGCGTCAGCCCCCCCCCTCCCCCCCCCTTGGCGTCAGCCCCCCCCGCCCCCCTTCGACAGAGCGAAGGTCCCCCCCCTCCCCCTCGCGTGTGGGTCACTTTACAATCAGAAGCGCACTTTACAACCAGATGGGTCACTTTACAACCAGCTTGCATAATCCGAGAAGGGCACTTTACAACCAGGAAGGGCACTTTACAACCAGGCAAGTGGAAATACATATTGAATGCACGCGGGCCTTTCCCTGAAATCTCCGTGGGCAAGCGCAAGGGTGGCTTTGGGCTCTTTGAGGCATGTTGGTTGTAAAGTTGTCCATCGCGCACGAAGAAACACTGCGCACGCGTTGGTGATGCGACGACCTGGTGCGCTATGGTATGGTGCGTGCTGGTGGGCGGATTATGGTTTTGACCTGCTCTCTAAGCTCTGTCGGTCAGTTATGCCATTGCTTGCTCTGCCTTTTTTTTCTGACGGGCGAAGGCTACTCGCGCAGGACATACGAATAAACCATGATCCTGTCCAAGACTGGAGCTGCATGGCAGTGGGAAGCTGTAGTGGGGGATGTGGTGGTAGCAGGGGCTACAATGGGAACTGCATGTGGTGGTAGCGGGAGCTACGATGGCCCAGGAGGCCCGCGGTGCCCATGGCCTAGTTCCCTGGAGCGCTGGGCCCTTGTGGAGGCCACTGGGCTCGCTTCCTGTGAGTGATCTCTAAAATGGGCAGCGCGTCGCCCTGAGCCTTCCTGCGCACGCTGTCGCCGTATTCCCGTGTGAGCACTGGGCCCTTGTTGAGGCCGCTTGGCCCCTGCTAGCAGATCCTGTCCTAGCCTGGGTTTCTGGTAGCGGTCACCTCTCCGAAAGAGCCTCTGTAGCCAAAGCTCTCGTGGAGGCGCTCGCGGGCCCAGGAAGCGGCCTCCAGACCCGACCCATAACCCCAGGATGATCCGACCCAACCTGTTCGGCCTCGGCGTCGTCGTCGTCCTCCTCCTCCTCCCCCTCCTCCTCCTCCCCCTCCTCCCCCTCCTCTTGCTCCCTCCTCCACCTCCTCCGCCTCCTCCTCCTCCCTGCTCCTCCTCCTCCTCCACCTCCGCCTCCTCGCCCTCCTCCTCCTCCTCCTCCTCCTCCTGCTCGTCAGTCTCCTCCTCTTCCCCCCTCCTCCTCCCGCCATCTCCTCCTCCTCCTCCTCCTCTTCCTCATCTCCCTCCCCCGATTCCTCCATCCCATCTTCCTCCACGTCCTCTTTTTACACAGTCCTCCTCCTTCTCCCTTCGACACGGCTCCGCTGGCACAAGGCTGACGCTGTTGCGCTGGCACAAGGGTGGCGGTGACGCGCTGCCGCGGTGGCTCAAGCTGCTGCGCTGGCACGGTGGCTGAGGCTGTTGCCCGAGCAGGATACCTGCGTTGCTGCGCTGGCACTGTGGCTGACGCTGGAAGGAACTATATTCAAAATAGTTTCATATATTCGGAACGTTGAACCTCGATCTTCCAAGAAGAGGAGCAGCAGGGGGCCAACTGGAGCTGGAGCACTTAGCCCCTTGCAGAACACCGTGGGGTTTCCGGGGCCAACGTGGCCCAAGAGACCCGCGGTGCCAATGGCCTAACTCCTTGGAGCGCTGGGCCCTTGTGGAGGCCACTGGGCTCGCTTCCTGTGAGTGATCTCTAAAATGGGCAGCGCGTCGCCCTGAGCCTTCCTGCGTATGCTGTTGCTTTATTCCCGTGCGAGCACTGGGCCCTTGTTGAGGCCGCTTGGCCCCTGCTAGCAAACCCTGTCTTAGTCTGCTGGGCTCAGAGCGCCTGAGCGTCCAGGCGCTCGGGCTCAGAGGCATCGCTGGGGCCTGCGCAGAGCGCCCAGGTCCTCGGGCTCAGAGGCATCGCTGGGGCCTGCGCAGAGCGTTCAGGCGCTCGGGCTCCAGAGCGCCCACGTGCTCTGGAGCACTTTTCAGAGCGACCGCGCGCCCTGGAGCACTTTTGAGAGCGCCGACTTGCTCTGGGGCATTTTTCAGAGCGCCCACTTGCTCTGGGGCATTTTTCAGAGCGCCCACTTGCTCTGGAGCACTTTGCGGAACGCCCAAACACGCACGGCCACTGAGCTGGTTGTAAAGTGGTCCGTTCTGGTTGTAAAATGGCCCGTTCTGGTTGTAAAGTGGTCCGTTCTGGTTGTGAAGTGGGCCGTTCTGGTTGTAAAGTGGTCCGTTCTGGTTGTGAAGTGGGCCGCTCTGGTTGCAAAGTGGACGTTCTCGATGAAAACCATACTTTCCAATCCTATGTTGGTTGTAAAGTAACCCATATGGTTGTAAAGTGAACCTGAATGGCGCCCCCCCCCCCCCCCCTCCTTGCTGGGCCTGAGTGCCGTCAGCCCCATCCCCCTCGTCCCTCCCGGGCCTGAATGGCGTCGCCCCCCCCGCCCCCCCCCCCCCCCCCCCTCCCGTGACAGAGCGAAGCCCCGGGGCCCCTCGTCCTTCCCGGGCCTGAATGGCGTCAGCACCCCCCCTCCCCTTTCTCCCGGGCCTGAATGGCGTCAGCCCCCCCCCCCCCGACAGAGCGAAGCCCCCCCCCTCTCTCGTCCTTCCTGGGCCTGAATGACGTCAGCCCCCCCCCCCCCCTCGTCCTTTCCGTGCCTGAATGGCGTCAGCCCCCTGCCCCCCCTCCTCACTCCCGGGCCTGAATGGCGTAAGTCCCCCCCCTCTTTCTCCTACCTCGATCCCAGGCGTGAAGGGCGTCAGCCCCCCCCCCCCCGACAGAGCGAAATTATCTCCCCCCCTCTTCTTCCTCGCGGGCCTGAATGGCGTCAGCCCCACCCCCCCCCTCCTCCCTCCCGGGCCTGAATGGCGTCAGTCCCTCCTCCCTTCCCTCGTCCCTCCTGGGCCTGAATGGCGTCAGCCCCCTCCCCCCCCTCCTCTCGGGCCTGAATGGCGTCAGCCCCGACAGAGCGAAGCTTGAGCGAACTCAAGCCCACGCTTTCAGAAACTAACACGCCAGATCAGTTGGCGGATTCCTTGAGGAGCTCTCATGGGCAGTCTTGGGGCTGCCTTTGGCTCATGTGTGGCTGGGCCCCAGATCCGTATTGGTCCCTTTCCTTCTTCCCCCCTTCTCGCGCCATCCTCCTGTTGCCGCATCTGCTTGCGCGGGCGGGGGCGGGGCCGCGCGCCGTCGTCGTCGTCGCAGTCGTCGTCGACGCCGCCGCGGAGATCGATTGCGAACGCTTTTCTTCCCCATGTGTGGGCGCCTCGCGAGTCACGGCTGCGCGTGTGTCCGAAAATGATCGGGGGCTTGGCCGCCTTCAAAGGTGAGCCGGGGCCTTTCGGAATCAATCGCGGAGTTAGTCCACACTGTCAAGAAGCCCCATTCCATAGCTTCGGGGGGGGGGGCTTCGGGTCTTACGGGCCTCTTGTGGGTCTCGGCGATCATTTCCCTTTCGAGCGCCAGATGTGCCTGCGGGCGCGCGGGCGGGCGGCGGGCGCGCGCCGTGGGCCTCCTGCGCCCCCCCCCGCCGCGGCGCGTATTGGTCAGGCCGGCGCGGCGAGCACCGGCGGCGGCCAAGGCTCCGGCGGCGAGACGTAGTTAGGTAGAACGAGAGAGAGAGAGAGAGAGAGAGAAAAAAAAAAGGAGAGATATGGAGAGAGAGGTTGAGAAAGAGGGATGGCGATAATGAGAAAAATAGAGACAGAGGAGGCGGCGACCGCAAGGGGCTGGCGCGAGGGAGGCGGGCTTCCAAGGGGGCTGCGGGGCTTCCAAGAAGGCCCGGGGGGAGGCTCGTAATCATAAGATCGCTTGGCGGTCTAAGTGACCTTTTTAGAAGCCTAGGGAGCCAAAACGCCCCTGCCTTCTAAGAGCCCCCATTCAGCCTTCTTAGAGGGGCACCCCCCTCGCGCCACCCCCCAGTGGGCGCCGCCAAGAGAGAGAGGGAGAGAAAGTCGGAATGGGCTCGACGTGTACACCTCGTCTTTTTTGTCGGTTAAGGAACCGAGGAACTCGGCGAAGGAATTCGGTGCGCAACTCCACCATCCCACACATTGGGCGGTTGGGGCAAGTATGCACCGAGCTCCCTGGCCGACCAAACTCCAGCGGCAGCGGGGCGCCTCAGGAGAGGGCGATGGCGGAGGTCTGGGGCGATTGGCTTGAAGGGGAGTTTTTGAGAAGTTGTTCGAAGGTTTTCGGAATCTGGGGTGATGTCCATGAGCTGCACCTCGTCGAGAGCGTTCTCTGGGTGCCAGAGTTCCCCGAACCGCTGCTGGAAGCCCGAAGTCTGACCCGCAAGCCCGACGACGACAATCATTTGAGTTGGACGACGTGGTGGGATCAGGGGCAAGGTAAGAGAAGAAAGGGTCAGGGCGAACGCATCGACCTCCAATCCTCCAGTGACCCCTGAGAGGGACCCGATAGTCTCGCCCGCCTTGGACCGTGGTTACGTTATCCAGAGCTTATCGTCGATCTATCGGCGATGTGTCTCCGATTCCAGATCGATGTTCCCTCCCTTGAGCCAGTGATCTCTGCCCATCAAGAGAGCGGAAGAGAGAGAGAGAGAGATAGAGAGAACAACAACATGAAACACAGACACAACAAAGAGAGACATTGGGGAGTAACGCATGGCATGCAGAGAATTTCTTGAGCTCCAAAGGGGCCTCAGACATATCATGCTTATGCCGATGCTGGTTCTTCCAGAGGAAGCCACCCGCGCGCCATCATTCTCCTCCAGATCATGTTCTGAGTCTTTCACATTCATATCGGGTCGTATACAAAGTCAGGCACTTCCAGGCCCACTCACACTCACTCATGCTCAGGCGAATTCGCGCGCAGACTCTCTCATCTAACACTCGGTTCTGGTCAAATTCATCCAAAGCCACGCCACTGCACTCAATACCACCCTTGTTCATATTACTCGGAGCCCTGTGACCACAGTGGTGTAGACCGCATTGCGCTCGGGCCTCCCACGAGGGAGCCGCCGTTGGGCCTGACACGATGACACGGGCATGCTAGTGCCAAGACTGCGGGGACCTCTAATGAGAAGCCCTCGTTTTTGGAAGTAGACGCGTCTCTTGTCAGCACTTTTTGATGTCCGCCATGTGGCACGCCTCGCGCTTCGGCCTCCCAAGCAAGGGGGGGCAGATAACCTCTACAGCGAAATGGCAGAGCAGACGCGTCTCTTTGTATTCCCCCTTGACACAGATATGGCAGACATGGCACTTGGACCTCCCGAAACGGAGAACCGCCAGGAAAGGTCCCACTGGCCCGCTCACGCCCAGGTTGCGGACAGGGTCTAAGGCGCATCTCCAGCTTCGGGAAGTTGGCAATTTTCTCTATGCATTTTGATGTTTCACGGCGACCTGGCAGGCATTGCATATGGTGCTTCCCAAAGGCGGCCGCCAAGGTTATGACACGGGCTCGTTCGTGCCCGGGTTGGCGGGTCCCCTCAGGCGAAACGCCAGTTCGGGGAAGGGGACGCGTGTCTTTTCCCAGCCCCATGGTCACCGCGATGCATTTGGGCCTCCCCGATGGTCGCCGCCGCAGGTTACGAAACGGCCCCGTTCGCGTCCAGATTGTTGGAGGCCTCTCAGGCAAAGCGCCCGCCGCTTGGGAATTTCCACGCATCTCTCCTCACAGCTCCAAGATTACTGCCATCTAGCAGGCTCTGCGCTGGGGTCTTCCAAAGGGGAGCTCGCAGGGTGTATGAAACGGGCCCGTTCGCGTCAAAATTGGGAGACTCTCGGACGAGTTGCCCGTTCGGAGATCTATACGCCTCTCTTTTCATAGCTCCATGGTCACGCTCATAGGAATTGCATTTAGGCCTTCCTTCAGGGAAGCGCCAGGTGTTCGACAAGCGCTCGTTCCCGCACAGACAGCGAGAGACTTCCCAGGTGACGTGCCCGTTTTTGTGAAGTGGACTCGTCGTTTCATGATCACCGCGATGTGGCGGGCACTGCACTTGGATTTCCCAAGGGAGAGCCGCCAGGGGTATGGTACTGCTCGTGCCTGCCCCGCTCTATGGTGACCTCCCCGGCCAAACCCCCATTTTGGGAAGTAGACGCTTCTTTTTTCTGACTACCATAATGCAGTAGGCATGTGGGCATGTGTGGTTGTCATGCATATGTCAGCCTCCCCTCCACCTTCGCCTCCGTCCCACCTCCCCTGTGTGCCACCGTTGTGGCTCACAAAAGGCCCTTGGGTGATCTGGCGCGCAGGTGACGGGCGCGCCCTGGCCCCCGTACAAGGAAAGAGAACGTTCTCTCATATAGCACGGGTCTCCCTACTTGTGTTTCGTGTCTGTCTGTATTCCAGACAGCTACTCCGGTACATTTCACAGTGGCAGTTGAGGCCGACTCCCCTGACACCCGAATCTCGGGTGGCATGTTCCATCGTATTCTCCCGTTCGTCCCGCTCCCCACCCTTTTGCGACGAGCGCCGCCATGGACCGTCCACTCGACGGTCAGCCTGTCGAGGAACTCCCGGATGATCCTTGGGTACATAGGAGGCGGAGGACGAGAAAACGTTTTTTGGGACGGTGATGACGAAGTGGGTTGGCCATATGAAGGCTGGAACCGCTGGTTCCCGCAGACCGGAACGGAGACACAACTCAATGCGCACTCGTCTTCATCAATTTGGAATGCGCGAGGCCGTGGTTTGCCTGCTGCACCAGTTCGGTTGAACACGCCTATCTCTGCGGGGACAGGCTGCGCCGTTCAGTCCGACTAATTGGGGAAATGCCACTGCCAGATTTTCAGGTCGCCAGAAGTGAGCAATTTCCTGAACACCCGGAAGCCCTAAGTATACCAAGCGACTTACTTCCCACCTGGGATAGGAACGATTCTGATTTACGTTTAGCTCCTTACAGGAAGGAACTGCAGACGTGGCTCTCGACCCCGAGCCCTGACGAGTCATTCGCCGCTACCTCAGAGACGGCTTCAATATTTGCAGCAACGAAATCGGCGAATACCAGCTGCTCTCGGAAGGCAGCGGGCAGGAAATGGCCGAATTGATTAAGAAGGATTTCGCACACAACCAAGATTGCAATATGCCGAAAGCTTTTGAAGATCTTCCATCCTGACGACGCCAAGCGCAAGCGAAACGAATTCCTGGTCAGTCCTATAGCTCGCAAGGGGGTGCTCTTCCGAGAGCCCGAGAAGCGCGCGATCCTACCAGAGGAGCTGAGAGGGCACGTGCTTGTGCAGTGCGTGGGATACGTTTGCTGAGCAATTGACTGAAGTATCATAGGACTTCGTCCGTGCGCACGAGAAGCATATCAGGCTTGGGCGACCACTACCCTCGGGTGAAGGCTGCCAACGCTTCGATGGAAAGAGACCCGCCTCGCAGTTCGTCGGGCACCAAGGAGTCGAAGGCGGATGTGATGACCAGGTTTTTGACCATGGTGAGTTTGACGGCCCTCCTGGGTCAGTATTCGTTCGCCTTGCCCGAGTCCGACGAGGAAGACGACGTCCTGGTTGAGGCTCTCAGGTGCAAGGGCGACGAAGACGTATTTTTTGCAGCTGGAGACATCCTCGAGGTCGTGTGTTTGGATGAAGACGACGACGTCGCCATCTATGCCAACTACAGTCGGGCGCGACAGTATCTACGCAAGCGGAAGGTCGGGCGAGGCTCATCCAGACAGTCTCTTCCAATTGGCAAGTCCATGGGCCGCCGCAAAGGGAAAACCGCCGAGGGAGACGGACTGAGCGTGCTCGACCGAAGCGCTGGAGCAAAAGTAAACTGATGAGCCGCTCGATGCGCGCCCGACTCGGGAAGATGCGGCGCTGGGTTCGGGGCTGCGCGAACGAGCCAGACGAGCGATGGCGCAAGAACCAAGCAGGGTTCGGCGTTTCCAGGCTGCCCCTCGCGGAGCAGACGACGCTCTGCAGGGCGAGCGTCAATGGGAACGTGCGACCCAGTTTGGAGTCAGTTCTTTAGCCTTGCACTATTTGCGCGACTGCCGACGCAGGCGAACAGTCTTTCATCGGGCTTCAGGCCCAGGTGGGTTTCGGCCCACTGGACGCTGGAGCTCGGCGCGGAGTCTGCGGCAAAGGTCAGTTTGAGGAGCTATTGGGATTTTTTGCAGATGATTATGGCCTGGAGCCCGCGCGCGTGCTCACTCCTGAAATGGACGCCATGGGCGTTCGAGGATCTACCTCGTTTCTCCCCCGCTGGACCTCGCAAGCTGCCGCGGCATGAACAGCGCTCTCGCAGTGCACCCGATTGCCCGTGACGCGCCCTTGCGGCTTCCAGTGGAGATGCCCCTGCAGATTGGCGCGGATCTTGGCTTGCCAGGGGGCGTTATCACTTGGATCGCGCTCGGCGGCAGTCAATCGAGGGCGCGCGAGGTTGGGGCAGGCAGACGCACTGCGATCCATATCTTTGATTGTCCCGAAGATGGCTGGCAGAGAAAGGGGAGTATTATAGCAGCCTCTCCGAAGACTCAGGAATGCTGCCGGGCCGTCGAGCCTGGGCGCGCCACCTCCCGAATGAATCCGCAGGCACCCTCGGCTCGAACCAGTGGTTCTCAGCTTCCTCTCTTGACGTCGCTCGCGACGTTGAGCCGCGCGGCGCGCGCCC